AAAAAAAAAGCATAAACGCACTTTAGATCTCTAGGGAGCTATTCGACAATTATGCGTTAGCGAAAACATGCATTGTAATTTTTTCAAAACTGATAACTATAATAGTTAAAATACTACCTTAGAACGTGCTGATCAAGTTTGGTAACGGCATATTAGAAACAATTTCCAGTTAGACATTCCAAGGAATTATTAATAATTAAAAAAGTTGATAATAAATTTGAATGAGGATGGCCAACTGCTAAGCAAAACTTGTAATTTTCAGAAATAATTACTTATTTGCAATTATCAACTCATTCTTGCAAGAAAAGAACTGGCAATATGTCATAATGTTGAAATTAGCGGTTGATCATGAGATGTGGAGGTTTGGTTCGATTTTCAGCTTGCAAAAAACGCAATTTAATTTGATTGGACTCTAATATCAATATTGAGTAAGGTACGGTAGTTAAAAAAGTCTGCAAAACATCACGAACCTGTTCCATAGCCGGTAAAACAATAACAAAAATAGACAAAATAAGTTGCAATGCATTACAGATTGACAAGGCGACGAGGTAAAATAAGAGACTTGTTTTTCGGAAATATCCATGACTTGAGACACTGAAATTCACCATAATCAACATTAATCAGTAAAAACTTTGGAGAGACGCCAAAAGTTTTTTGACCAATATAGGGCATCTCGTAGAGGGAACTCTTTCAGCTAGTAAATAAATAAATAAACAGATAAATAAATGTATAAATGTTTGAACCTGAGGAACACTGCAATACAGGCGCAATTGAGTAGAAATCCAATCGAGCACAACAACGGCTCTACATAGACGACCAGCACACAGCTGAAAAAATGTGAAAATCATAGGAATGGGGTCTGAAGGAGTTCAATAAGGCACTAACAAACCTGGCGTTATTAAGCCAGTCAGCCCAATTAAACTTGTCTACGACGGTAGGGGCGGCTGTTTCTAGTTTTGGATCAGTAATCACTTCAACAGTTTCCATTTATGGCAACTGACCAGCAATGGTGGCACATTGGGCGAACAAAGCGGCTATATGAATGCAAGATCCCGTTAATCCATTTAATAACCGACGGCACGACATAGACGACAAAAGAAGTGACAACAATGCTGATCGAACGGACCACTTGTCCTAGACATTCGGACGGCTAAGCGTAATTGATTTAATTGATTTGCTAATAGATCCAAACCACGAAGATTACTGTACTCTTACCGTATGGCAATCGATAACAGTGGGATGAGACGGTAATTAATGGGAAAACAACAAGAAGGGCAACTAAAACACCACCTTTCCCAGAAAAAAAACTTCTAGAATAGGAGTTTTTGAAAAATAAGTAATGACGCAGATGAACGGTTATCAGAGAGATAGAGAAAAAAGGTCCTCAGTCTACTCAAAGACTGCGATCTGATTGTGAGCAGTCCCGGCAAGCTATGTGCAAAAAAAAGTTCTGGCCTCGCCTCTATACAAAAAAATCCGATATTCAAGCATTATTTTCAGACGAATATGGGCAAAAGTGGCCCATGGTCTCGAGTTATCCCATTTCTGTTGAGGATACCACCATCTATCAAATAAGCGTTTACATACGTGACTGCCATGCTCGACGGGCAAGAGAATAGGCTTTTTCATATAGTTTTGGACTGATGGCTCCCGATTGTGCCTGGGACTAGTTTCCGTCAAGCTTGGGAACATATGAAGCTTTCAGATTCAGCTGAATGTGGCAAGGGCACCAAGTAACTTGAATAAAATATTTTTCCCATGGGAAACTGATTCAAACCGATATACTGACAAATCGTATACATGGGGTTGGATTTGCTTACTGGAAAGGCATTTTCGGTTAGAGACAGAAGAAAGCAAAACCGATGCAATTAGGCAAGTAATCCCCTAGAGAACTGAAAGCTGTGAAAGGAAAACAATGAAGCAGATATGGTCGACGCCAATGAAAGTGAATGGAATTGAAGGTTGACGATTTCATTGGACTCTAAGTAATGACATCAGAGGGGAATTTGCAGAATTTGAAGTGAGGAGCTGTCATGTCTCTCGGTTGGGTAGGAGTGATCTAAGAGCGCGTCTCAGATCGACTCTCTACACTGAAATTTCTTAAAGAGTAACAAACGGTTGCCTAGCATTAACAAAAGCAGCTGGAATAGGAGTACCTTACAGCCGAGTTGAATACATCATAAAATATCATAAAAAGAGGGCTATGCTGCAGCTTGGCGTAGAGTACCAGCTTGGATTACGGTCGAGATGACATTTTCAACCAGTTCTTCATTTTCTACCGTGGCCAAC